GAAGGGCGTGCACTTTATTGCTGATGAATGAAACTATTTATTTGTGAGCGGAGGATCGGCTTATTACCTCTTTCAAAATGAACGGCAGACTCTCGCTTTGTTTTCCTCTGACGCTTGATCCGTATTTATGAGGCTCCATCCAACACCCAAATAAAACGAAAACCTTTGAGTGACAGAAGAGCTGCAGACACCTGCTGCATAGACACGGCCTCGTCACCTGACCACATTCCCAGCGTCCGTCTCAGGTCTCTCTTGCCCCCCCTTTACCCGCCCTGACACTGCGTTCTAAAATGTGATTTTTCTATCTGCACCGAGCTGAGGAGTGGCAGCGTGACTCATCCAGTCAGACAGGTTCAGACTCTAAAAATAGCGGAACGGGGTCCGTTTAAATCAGACATAAGGGCATGTGGTCTATTATCGTATTATAGTAGCAGAAGGATTATTGACAGGACTAAATATGTAATATGAGCTCAGGACCTGAGTGCTGTTAAGTTAATAATGACAAACACACCTTTACTGATGCCTCATAATAAACGCTTTTTAAAACAACTTTTATAGACTTTACAGGAAGGTGTTTCTATCACAGAATCTTTGATTCACAATAGGAAGCCGCGACAAAACAAAAGAAGTAATTGCCGGACTTTTATTGTGAAAAGATTACAGCAGATTTGATATATCACCAAATTGGCTGAGATTTGTTTGTGTCTACTTCTCAGTAAAACAAGTCTGCTAATTCTGCAAAGAGGAAGAAAAAGCAGCAGAATGAACAGGAGACTTTTATTGTGAAACCGTAAAGCGATTAAATCGCTTAATTAGCAATTATATGGAAGCAAATGTGTCAAACCACGGTTTATAACCTCCTTTGATCACGATGCTCATCTGATAAGCGGCCCGGCCTTAGCCGCTCTGAAACAAACCCCCTCTCACAGACCTTGGAGGTGTGAGTGCTGCTTTGTGTCAAAGATTCTGGATTTATGCAACGTGACGCATTTCAACCAGCGCTTTGAGCCAGAGCTTCACGGCCGAACCTTCCCTGTCGTTATTGATGGATGTCAAGGTGTGTGTGTGTGGAGAGGGGGGGGGCTCGAAGGCATGAAGGTATGAGGGCTACAAATCAAACAGCGGTTAAATCTAACAGTAATAAACTATTATGTTACAAACATCCACAGCTCGAATCCGCCAACCTGAAGGTGGAGGCTTATTAAAGGCATCCATCACAGCTCGTACTGAACTACATGCTGTGTTTGCATCAGAAGAGGTGAGCTATCCAAACAGTTACTACACGAGACATAACTCAGAGCTAGCTTAGCATCGTAGCTTAGCATCATAGCTTAGCATCGTCCAGGTTACAGCAATTATCAGAGACTAATTTTTTACCTGATTTTTCGAGGTTCTAGTGGTTTAATGTAACGGAAACGTTGCGGTCAAGCAGGAAACAATGAAATATCAAAGCAAATGTCTCCATAACAATGTTGTTGTGTCGACCAAAGGAGCTTTTTGCTCCTTTTCACACAGTGAGATGCGTAATGGGTCCCAGGACAGAGGGTGTTGCTTGTGTACCGACTATAAAGCTGCTGCGATTTAGGGCTGTACAAAATAAAATGAATAGTCAGGAGTGTGGATACAAGGACCAATCATAGAGACACTTATGTGATATTACAAAACCCAGTCTTTGAAACTTTGAATTATAATGCAGATCAAATAAATCAATGTTCCAGTCAAACTGGGAAAAATTCATTTCTCTATTGAATTAAATAAATAATCGCTGAAACTTTCGTTGGCTACGGATGTCCTGGACGGGAAGGAGGGAATTTGTCAAATGTAGTTTTAAAAGTGTAAAACCGACGATGTGACACCGGAGAACTCCGTCCATCTGTCCATCGTCTCTGTCTTCATCGGCCCTGCTAATGATCTCCAGGTGCACCCGGAGCACCTTTTTCCACCTCAGCACAAACGCTCCTCCAAATTCACCAAACCCTCGCTGCTTCCATCCATCGGTGCCGTCTCTACTGTGACCTTCGTTGACTGAAAGCAAAACGAGTCTTTTACCTTTGAACTTTATTCGGGAGCAACAGCGTGACGTAAAACCACGAGCTGCAACCAGAGGTTCGTACGATAAGATCCAACAGCAAAGTGAAATGTGTCCTGCTTCCTGTCACAAATCTACCCGAGGCTTCTCCGCTTTCCTTTTTTTATCTCCGCCTGGGTTTGAGGGCTCTGCCGTCTCCGCGGTGAAGAGGACGATGTGCACAGGCGGATCTGCTGTGAATGAACCGCGCAAAAGAGCTCCGAGCGCCGAAGATAAACCCCTCAAGCCTCTCCGCTCTCCCTCCGAGGCCCCCGAGGGCAGCGGTGAAGGAAGACCAGTGCACTCGTAAAGCGCTGGTTTTCCCGGCATCACGGCCGACTGTGTTGTTGTTGTTGTTGTTGTTGTTGGTGATTATTTTCCAGTGTTACGTCCACCGCGTGCAGCTCACAGAGGAGAAGCACTGGCACCGTTGATGAAGACGTTCTCTCTGGCGGCCGGACGTCCACGCAGAGACGCATTTGCACGAAACGCAGCACTTCTTCCGGAAGCCTTTTCGTTCAATTATCGTTTACCAAATAAGTGAGAACATTATTTTAAAAAAAAGGTATTAAGGCGCCTGCTTGGGAAGGAGCGAGGGGCGGATTCTCTGTCCAGTAATCGCGTTACGCCGGTGCTTTTATCCACAGCCTTTAGAGAGCTCACTGTGGCTGTGCGTTAATGCAGCAATTACCAAGGGAGGGAGACCGCTAATGGGGGGGGGGGGCGGCTGGGAAGAGACGTTTCCCCTCTGTTCCTCCCTCGTTCTCTGGGTCCATCACACCAGGGGACCTCTGGCCGTCTGCTTCCTGCGAGATGTTCGCCTCAAACTCCACGGGATTCACCTTTGGGACTCGATGGCGAACTCCCCGAGTTGACCTGGTGTCTTCCTCGTCCTTCTCCAGACGCAGACGTCCTCTCGTCTTCGGCCGCACAGTAACACATCTGAAGGCCTCGTGGGCGACGCAGCAACTGTACCTCAGTGATGCAAAAAAGTAATTCGCATTTAATTAGCAGTCGTCCTCCGTCTCCGTCTCCGAGGACAGGGTTCATGATGACAATCTACACACACGAGTCCATCAGCAAACCTCTGAGAGGAGCCTGCAGGGGGAATGAGGAGACGAGTCGCACGTAAACTCAGCGCTAGTTAACAGCGCTAGTTAACAGCGCTGCTTAACATTGCTGGTTACATTGTTTGTTACTAAAGCCTAGTTTATGCTTCTCCGTTTTCAGAGCGGCGCAGACGCAAGAGTCCCTTGCGTGTCCTTTGCGTGTCTTTTCACACCTCCTTGCGTGCGTCGACCCATTTTTCTAGACTAGCGTCTAAAGCTACGTAGCGTCCTGCAGCAGCAGGCTGTGATTGGTCCGCTGACTACGTCCTTTACGGAGTCTCACATCCCCGTTTTCACAGCACAATACGGACGTTATTAAAAGGAAGAACGTTTACGAGAGAACGGATCAGATTGAAGAGCTTTTAAATATGAGCGCTTGTACGAGCCGTCATTGGCGGACTATGAGGACGCCGGATGGCCTCTGATTCATGGAGGGAGATCTCCACCAACGAGGGGAACAAAGTCGTGGAGGAGAATACGGGACAAATGTGTCCTTGATGAAGAGCAGCAGTGTGGATGCACGGGGCAATAAAGTCTATGATACATAAATAAAGCAACCAGCGACTTCCACACACAAAGACGCGACTCTCCAGGTCGTCTTCAACAAAACACGTTACTCCACCTGTTGTTCTGGAGGTGAATCGCTCTGCAACACACGCAGGACTTTACAACCAGGAAGTGAAACCAGTGCGTCGACGTAAAGACGCAGACGCAGAAACACGGGGCGGCCTTTGTGCTCATCAACTATTCTCGTCAACAACACAATGTCAGACGTTCTCAGAGAACTTGAAGCTCGTGTGTCAACAAAAGGACTCCAGACTGATAAATCTTCACTGGTGACAAACAGCAGATTATTTGGGAGGGACGGCGAGTCGGCAGTGACTCATTCCTGCTCTGAGTATCATTATCATCTGACCTTTGACCCTGCGTCTTCCCGGAGAGTCTCCTGATCAGCCTGCAGGCCGACACTTTATCTGATCAACATCCACAGCGAGATCAGATTAGATAAGAACACAAACAAATCCAGTCGGAGATCCATCGATGATCGTGTCTGATATCTGTTAAAGTTCAAAATAAATCAGGCTCCAAAGGGTAATAAAAACAAAACGATAACTCCTAGAGATGACAAAAAAGTTCCAGTTACGTCTGTTTTCACGATGAAACAGGAAGTTTGAGAGACTTTGATGCAACGAGAAGCACATGAAACAGGAAGAAGGATGCGTTGCATTAAAACCATATATTTAAAAATCATTCAAACTCCACATATTTTTAAACTGCACATATTATAAAAGCTCTTTGTGGGCAAAACACGAAAATAAAAACACCTCAAATTGCTCGCATCCTTTGTTAAAAGCAGATTTGAGTGAGTTACTGTTCAAAATGCTTCTCTAACGTCACCGGTCATCTGGCACAGTGGAACATGGAAGCTGTGAGTCACACACACTGCAAGCGCCACACTCAGTCAGGGGGGGCGACCCCTGTGTCCCTGACCATCACACACACACACACACACACACACACACACACACACACACGCACACACACACACACACACACACACACACACACACACACACGCGCACACACACACACACACACACGCGCACACAGCCTGGGTTTTGTCCAGCTTGTCTCTATAATTGGTTTCCATCGGCTCCACTGCGAGTATTAACTTCCCATCGATGCAGCAGCGAGTCGGAGACGCGGTGACTTCTCCTTGACGGAGAAGCATCACCTGCTGAAGGCTTCAAACAGTGTGTGCGTGTGTGCGTGCGTGTGTGTGTATGTGCGTGTTCAGAGAGGAAAGAGAAGGGCGTACTCACTGCACAGAGCGATGATGTGGCTGCTGTCCTCGTGGACAAATTTCTTAGTCACCGCCTCCTCCATGATCTGCTTCACCTGGACACAATAGAGACGCAGCGTGAGAGACGGCCGGGGAGGGAGGGAGGAAGGGAGGGAGGGAGGGGGGGAGACCGGCTCGCACAGAGGATCAGGACTACACTGGGACCGGGGTTCAGGCCCAGTTAAAAGCTCCTCATGCAGCATTGTGGTGCCTGCAGGACTACAGCGCATTAAACGAAGCCCTTTCTTACTCTCATTGGACGTTGTTCTGTCAGCTACCTGATAACAAGAAGAAGAAGAAGAAGAAGAAGGATTCTGCAGCCTCGTCTTAACTTGGTGACAGCTACTAATAACAGCTGTAACGGCCGCGCCCCAAACACACCGACTTCCAATTAACAGCATGTCATCGTTCAAATGAGTCCTTTCTTCTGCAGTCTATCGTGCCTGGAGAAGTTCAGCACCACGGGTCAGCGTGGCGCTCCGGAGAATCACCTGTCAGCCGTAATTTAATCAGGGACGGCTTGTTGGGGTCGGATTGATAAAACGTTGTGAGGCGACGAATTTATTGAAACTACGTTGTCTCCTCCCGTCATGCAGGTTCCCCAAAAGCTCCTTCAGCCCGGACTCCGGCAGAGACAAGACCACCGTGGACAGACCCAGGTTCTCCAGCAGAGACAAGACCACCGTGGACACGCCCAGGTTCTCCAGCAGAGACAAGACCACCGTGGACAGACCCAGGTTCTCCAGCAGAGACAAGACCACCGTGGACACGCCCAGGTTCTCCAGCAGAGACAAGACCACCGTGGAGAGACCCAGGTCCTCCAGCAGAGACAAGACCACCGTGGAGACCCAGGTTCTCCAGCAGAGACAAGACCACCGTGGACAGACCCAGGTTCTCCAGCAGAGACAAGACCACAGTGGAGAGACCCAGGTTCTCCAGCAGAGACAAGACCACCGTGGACACGCCCAGCTGGTGGTAGAGACCACTTTAGTCCACAGGGGCAGAAATCAACTCAAAATGAACGGCTTGAGAGACATTGATAACGTTTTTCTTGGGTCTGTCTGTATTTTAGAAATAGCCGGAGTAGAATGATAGTTTATTGAAGCCTTCCATGTTTGTAGGAGTTTAAAAAGTCGACCTCTATCTGGGCAGTGAATGTTTCACCTGCATCGGTTTGGCTTTTCACTCAGGAAACAGTGGAAATGGAGATGACGTCACCGCGTTGAGCTCCGTGTCCAGTTGGACGAGTGCCACTACAGATCTGGTCAAACTGGCTGTTTCCCATTCCAGTCGTTACACACCGGACACCCCCGTGCACCAGGAAGCGCATCGAAAACACACCCTTAATCAGGAAAATCTCCCCGTTTTAACAGACTGGCTTTAAGCAAACAGCCCAGATGTTGAGCGACCACACAGCAATGTTAGAATGCTCCTCTCTAATTGCTCCGGTAAAGTTACAACATCAATATACTACATTTTATATATATATATATAAATAATATATATATACACAGCAGAGGTACTCTCTGGAGAGCCTCTTGTCTCCGACGGACCTCATCCTCCTCAGAGATGCGTGAACGGATCCATATATTCACCTCCAGCCAAAGACCTGAGCGACGGCCCGATGCCGTCGCCCGGCGCGTTCCACTGTGAGAGCCGATCGATCGTGTGATTGGTAACGGAGCGGTTTAATTAGTGCGGGGGTGTGTGGTTTAACGCGTGATTAAGGAATTGGGGATAGCATACGGGTTTATTACTGATGGGCTGTGCAGGGAGGGTTCAGGATGCAGGACACAATGAAGACGACTATAATCGGCTTTTGAAGGAAGACGTATTTTGGAGGTTTGGGAATCATTTGGAGCTCAACTGCAAAAACAAGTTAGCATCAGTTGAATAAATAAAAGATATTGTATAAACTTATTTTCAGAAAGTTGTTCCAACTGCAAACTCCCAAAATCTTGAGTTAAATGAACTTGTTTCGAAACATCAGTCCACACGCCATCAGGAGACGTCCTCATATTAAGAAAGAGGGTTGAGAGTCTTCTGAACCTTAATACAAATAGTAAAGGAGAACTGATATAAGCAGCTGAAATCACAGCGCCATGTATAAATGAATAAAGAATAACCGGGGCTGAGCCCTAAGACCACGGTGGAGGTTCGTTGATCGGTTGAGCTCCGCGGACCCCGACGACGTGGAACTCAGCACCGTTGTTCATTTCTTTAAATCTCAGTTTCTCCAAATGCCAAATGTCAGAATGTCTCCTGTGAGTAGGACGAGGGACAGTGCAGGTGGTCCTCAGCGAGGGTCAGCGCCTACGATCTGATAAATCATTGAATGTGTGTTTCCATTCATCACACATCAACGGGTTTAAACGGTGCGTTGCGTTAACGGTCGTTGTGATGCTCGTTGTGTTGTCTGCAGGAAGTTGTGTTTGACGTCTCCTTCCTGATCGGATGGAGTCCATTCATGTGCTAGTCAGCAAACTGGGAAGGACGACTCGTGGAATCCATCCCTGTTTGACCCGTTTGGTTGTTTTCTCTCTCACACACACACTCGTACCATTTCCAGATAATACACCTTAAAAGTGCCCCCTCGTGTGTGCAATCAATTCCTCCTGGTCGGGGAGGACGGAGCGGATATTGTGGTCTGAGCCCACAGGAGACACAGAATCTCGGGGGCGGGGGTCGATTGGACTGTCGGGGCAGAACGTTTTTGGGTGCGAAAGCTCCCGAATGTCGCTGAGCTCAGTGGGGCCAGAGGGGGGGGAATAGCGTTGGAGAAGTTGAGTCGACTGGATTTACTCGCCTCCGGGTCGGCTTCTGTTGGTACGACCGGGTGCAGAACGGCTGCTGGACTTTTTTTAATGACAAGAATAAAGGCAGAATCCAAAGATTAAAACCAAAGAGGTTTTGTTGTGGTGAAAGACGACCTGGTGTCTCACTGTAGATTCTGGCACTCGCCATCTTGGATTGTGGCAACTAGTTAAAAGGAAGTGAGCATTATTTGACTCGCAGAGACCCACCGATTACGTGACACCTGTCAATCAGGGTGTAGTCCCGCCCTAAAGCGTCCCCTGCTTAATGGTCCGTTTGACTCTACATGGACCATCATTTACTAAATGAGCATCATGCTGTATTGAAGAAGACTTGAAACTAGAGATCGAGACTCATGTTTACAATGTTTACTGAGGGAATAAATCAAGAGACCTTTTCTCGTAGACGTCTATGGGAGCAGAGAAGTCGCCCCCTGGTGGTCACTACAGAAGATGCAGCTTCGGCTTTCCCTGTGAGAAGCGTATGTATCTCAGACGTCATCGGGACAAACTAACTATCGAATGTGACGTGATTCACATGAGTTTTACGTACGTTTCATTGGCCACAGCTTTGCTTCTCGGGATAAAGTCAGTCAGTCTGTATCCGATTGAAATATTTCAACAACCACTCAATGATCGGCATGAGATAATCAACAGATCCCCATGTGAAGGGATCCTTTTGCAATTCACTTTGGAGGCAGTTGACTTCGTCGTCTTCGTTCGCACGTTCACCTCCTCCTTTTGTCTGCATCGTCACTCTAGACAAACGGCACAGTGATTATGGGGCATTCAATATCCAGCCTGCAGCCTCTGAATAATCTGTCATTTCCCACAGAGGATTTAAAACACCTGCAGAATGAAAAAGGCAGTTTCTCTTACGCCCGCCTGCTCAGCTGAGCGGGGTCCAAGACAAAGGATCCACAATGTTAATTAAGCAGTGTATTCAGAACTAGAATAATCAGCTCCTCTAGTGGGGAGACAATGTGCCTTCTAACTTCTTAATTATCCGCCTGCTTCTGGTAGAATAGATTCTGTGGATTTGCAATACAGCGTGATGAGCTGCAATAAAACGTCTATTTGAGCTTCAGCAGCTCTTAAGGACTGACTCCTCCTCATGGAACATGAACATTTTATCTTCCCACAGAGAGCCCCCCCCCCCGCACACAAAGACAGAAGCATCCCTTTTTTTAAGGTTTCTGTGCGAGAGAACAAGCCGCCTCACTTCCATTATTAATCGTCAACTGATGCAATTTAACTTCTCGGAGGGAGCCGCTAAAGCGTTCAGTTGCCAAGCGATGGCGAGATAGCCGAGCGCCGCTTAAAGAGACAGCGAGCCGAGAAGCAGCCGCGCTCCAAAATGTCAGGGGCCATTGATTGACATCTCACGGATGAACCGGGGCTAATCGCACCGGGGATTGTTTACACCGGATATCCACACAGTATACAACAGCCCGCCGCCTGAGGAGAGACGGGGCGATTTCAGGCAACCTACGGAAGAAAAAAAAGATCGATATGAGGAGGAAACGGGGGATTCCTTCATGTGGGTGAAATTGATCTCAGCCTAAACATAATTAGCTGCGTTGCTTCTGGGTTCATTTCACGTGCGGAAAAACATGTTTAAAAAAAGCACGACGCTGTGAGTAGAAAAACGGCGTCGCAACCGCCAACGTCAAACCATCGCGCAGCTACAGATGTGGAACAAAAGAAGAGAAACATGATAACAGAAAACATTCCGTGCTTCTCCGGTAACCTTTAAAGCGAAACAAAAAGATGTGGGGGCGGCTGCAGGGGGCCGACGGGCACTCAGTCAATAAAGTGTAAACACGAAACAAACCAAAAATCGTACCGCAAAAAGGTTCCACTTACAGATGGGAAGCGTCTCGGTTGCCTCTGTACGGCTCTCAACATGGCGACAAGCCGAGACGGCGGCTAGTGGCTAGCAGCACAAAACACACGTGTACACAGAATCTTGCTAAATCCAAAAGGACCGTACAGCCGGATTCCGGTCAATTCGCAGGCTGTGAAAGAGGTTCAACAACGATTCAATGTGGAAAAACGTGATTAAATCCAGAGAGAAGCAGGGTCGCTTTCTCATTGACTTCTATGGGACCAGAGGAGTCGCCCCCTGCTGGCCACTGCAGAGGATGCAGCTTTAAACGTCAAAGCATCGACTTCACGCTAAACCACATTGAACACAAACACTAAATCCGCCCGGTGGTTACAGTGAAGCCACGTGGGAGAACTGAGATATATTGTGGTGAAATGTGATGCTTCATATCTCATAAAACAAAAGGGAACAGAGATAATAGTCTTTGACTAATGGACCCCCCCCCCCTCCTCACATGACGGAAGATACCGGCTCACATTAGAGGTAAAAGGCGGCCACACCTCGTCACATCCACTTTGATTTACACATTTCAGCGTGAAAAATGTATTTATTTATTTTTACAGTCGCCGCGCACAGAGGAGGTGTGTGTGTGTGTGTGTGTGTGTGTGAGGGGGGTATTTATCCCTCAGACGATGCGAGACATCCATCAGCAGGCGGGGGGGGGGAGCCGAAGGGACACGGAGCTTCCTCCTGGGGGTCCTGGTGTGTGTGTGAGGGGGGTAGTCGGACTAGACGTGTGCTCCATTCACGCTGTTGCATTGCAGGAATATTAGCCGCGGCCATGCAGCAGGTAACGAACGCGCACCTTCACGCTCCTCGCACGTGAGTCCGGAACGACGACACTAACCGCGTCCCGCTTCCCGGTGACGCGTTTGCCACCAAGGCGGCGGCGTAAACAACAGAAGCGCGCAAAGCGGCGACGGCAGGCACACCGGAGGACTCCTCGCACCCGCACGCGTTCATCTCACGAGAGGACGCGCGCGCACGTCGGCGGCTCTCACCTCGCGCTTCACGTTCCACAGCAGCTTCTGTTTGTGGTCTTCCACCGTGGAGCCCTCCATGTCTGCCCGCAGCTCCGCGCGTCCTCTCACCGCATCTTCTGCCCCGTTTCCATCCCGTCGTTTCCGTCCTCTTTTCTTTTCGCTCAGCTGACGCAGGTGACGTCACAGGACCCGCCTTCCACACCGAGGTGATCAATGGAGGGAAATGGAGAAAAAAAAAAAAAAAAAAAGGGATGGAAGCTGAACACGCCCCCCCCCCCCCGCGCGGGCCTCAGGTTCGGACCACAGCGACCTGTGGAGTCCTGCTTCCCTTCGGTCCTCCCGAGGCGCGACGGACGGAGGAAAAGGTGTGACGCGCCGGCCGTTTGGCGGTTGTCATAGTTACGTCTTGATGCTCACGCACGGGAGATGCATCCATGAGCTCATCAAGACGAGTGACATCATTCAGAAGCTGTGCACGTCGGCTCGCTGCGCCAGCGAGCTAAAAATAGGGGCGGGGGGCTTTTTTTCATTATTTTCTACTATTTTTTATGAAGCGGCCCTCTAATAAATAAATGACGTCACGGCGAGGTGACGTAAAGCGTGACCTCCCGTGTCTCTGCGGCGCGTGCCCCCGTGTGGTCCGAAGGCGCAGTTGCGGGAGGATTAATCCTGTTAATGTGTCGGCGACACCGTAAAAAAAATAAGAAAAGGATTTTTTCCCCTGAAAATTCCCCAACTCTAATAAAGAAACAACCTGTAAGGAAATACAATTAATTTAACTCTTAACAAACAATTTAATTCCTAAGTACTAATTTTTTCTCCAAGCTGGTTAGACGGGTCAGTTATTAGAAAATGACGTGAACCGATCAGAGCTCGGCTAAATGTTCAAAGGAAACGTTCATTTTGGTTCTTTTGGATGACATTTTCTATATTTTAAAATATATTTTGTTTGATTCATTGTGAGTTTAAAAATTTACAATTTATGGAACAGAAGACTCTTGATTGAAAAAAAAATAGAAGATTAGACAATGTGAGGAAATAGCATTTGAAGTTTTAAGGGCTCTTATGAAAACACAGATTAAAAGCATCCAGACTGGAAGACAAGTGGATATATTTCTATGGTAGAAAATAAATTCCATTTCCATCAATGGTCGCGCCCTAAAGCATCCCCTGCTTTATGGTCTGTTTGACTCTAAATGGATCATAACCTACTAAATGAACATCCTGCTGTAACTAGAGACTGAGACCGTAAACTCCGTTGTTTACAATGTTTACTGAGACATTTTCTCTTGGACGTCTATGGGACCAGAGGCCCTCAGCAGAGAGAATGCAGCCGTGACATAATTTACGTAAAAAATTAAAAAGACAAGAAAAGTAGTTGAATAACAAGAACTTTTATCTTCAAAACTGGAAAAAAAGGCATTATGGTGAACTGCATGAAAACACGTTAGTGGCACAACAGGCCTGTCGATGTGACTATAAAACAATCCATAAATATGCAATATGCGTCGCTGCTGATTCAGAGTGTAAGTGCTATGATTGGAACAGTATTTCATAAGAAATAATGTGCATCAGTGATTTGTCCTCTGCTAATACTTTACATTTATTAAACAACAGCAGCTCTCTAGTTATTTCAAATCGTTGCTCTGACAACGATTCATAGATTACGGCGGAGCGTCAGCCATCCGGAGAAGTCCTCAAAAGGGGGGCGTGGGGGAGCGAATGTTCACCATCGCAGGGGCCTGGAGGTGCTGGGGGGGGTCCCCTCCTCGGGCCTCAGTGTCCCAGTGGCCGCTCCTCGTACGTGCTGTACCTCTTCACGTGGATCCGCCGGACGCGCTCCCGCTGCTCGGCGCCGCCAGGCCCCCCCCCACCCTCCTCCTCCTCGCTGTGGGAGCCGCAGTAGGTGTAGCTGCGGCGCGTGGCCTCCAGCAGCAGGTTGTCGGGCGGCGCCATCGTCTCGTACAGCAGCGTGTTCAGGGTCTCCTCGTAGATGCGAGCTTCGGGGAACTCCACCTGAAAGGGGGGGGGGGCGGAGACGTGAGAATGTTGTTGCGGTGGGTCGGGGGGGGGGACGGGATTGTGTATCTGGTCCCCACCTTGGTCTGCTTCTTCTCCGTGGCGTAGACGATGGAGGTGCAGCAGACCTCGGCCAGCTTGCGAGCCTGGCCGTAGAAGGACCAGCAGCAGATCTCGTCCCCGATCACGTCCTTGATGAAGAGGACGCGGCCGTTGAAGCTGAGGGAAAGACGGTCGAACAGCTCGATGTTCTTCAGCAGGTGGTCGTCAGAGTTGCTGTCGAGGAAGAAGAAGAAGAAGAAGAGTCATTTTAACATCATCCGTGTGTGGCTTTGAATAAGGCGATCGCCGGGGCAACGCCGCCTCACCTGGTGTAGGAATACTTGTTGTTGCTTCTGTTGTACACCAGCTTCACCACAGGCTGAAATAAAGAAAAAACACTTGTATGAATATTTCAGTCTGTAGAAAATCAACAACACGCTTCCTTTATTGTTAAAATAGCTGCAAAACGATCATTTATGTGCGAGTGTGATTTCATTGTTGTGGTTTGACCAGTTGAATGATTTCTCATTCAGATTGATTGTAACGACGATGCGGCTTTACCTTGGTGGAGGACTGGATGAGCTTCTCCTCCTCCTGACTGGAGGTGACCAGCGGAATGACACACATGGGCAGCTCTTTATTGCCCTGTCAATCACAAACCAGCACACACTGGGAGTTAAGTAATGATAATCAAAAACTAAATATTTGTATAGCACTTTTCAGAAGCAACTAAATAAAGGTAACAAAGTCTTTTAAAAAGGGCAACGTTCATATTCAAATGATTGCATCAGATCAGAATCCAGCAGGCATCCTTAGAGCTCTCCCCGCAGCGACGGCATGTGACTCGCCTGCAGGCTGCTCTGACAGAGCTCCACCAGGCCCTGGACCTCGTAGAACTTGGCCTCGGCGAGCACCTCCTGGACCGCCTGGCGGCCTTTGGGCAAGGCGGCCGTGCCGTCGCGCAGGAAGCACAGGACGCTGTTGAAGTGTTTCCCGCTGCGGTCGATCAGGATCCAACCTGAGTGGAGACAACGTACGAGCAGAAAGGCTCACGACACGCTAATTATGCAAAGATTAACCACGTGGGATTGACTTTTTCACAACAACGTTCAAATGAAATTATATATGGTGGATTTCCATTAGCAGGATAATCATGAATATCAATCATGAAAAAAAAAGAGCCTGGTTTTCAAAATAAGAGAAAAACAAACAAACATTAAAAACATATTTTTCTACTAATACTTTATGTACTGAGAAGAAGGACTGGATGATTTATGATGACCATATTTAAGATGGTTTATTTTTCACCAACAAAGAGCGGTGTCGCCTATGATGCAATAAAACTTACACACCTGCATAATACAGTGAGCATTGATTATTTGGACTTACCGTCTTTATCCGTGAACACCTCCTTCTTCCCACTGAACATGGCTCTCAGCATGCAGCTCTGCCGGGTCAGCACCTGCAGCGTCGTGTAGAACAGGCTGCCGCCGACGTTGATGCGGACGTACTTGTTGCCCAGGCCCACCGCCCCTCGGTAGCTGCAGGTCTTGGTCTTGGGACAGGCCAGGGGGGAGGCGGAGTGGGAGTGACGCTGGGGCGGGCAGCTGTCCCCGGACATGTCCCTCTGGAGGTAGATGACCACCCTGCAGACGGAGGTCCGGAGGTCCCCCGCCGTGGTGACAGCTACTGATGAGGCCGCCACAACCCCTCAGGGCTGCAGATCATTCCTGGCAAACGAAACACACACACGTGAGCGCGGAACTGAAGCTACGCAGGAATGTCCATGTTGATAAAGACGGGCGAAGCAGGACGCAGAGCGGCTGAAGGCAAGCATCACAGTACGAAGGGAAGCCACCCAACACACCGCTATCTCCTCTTTGGTTCCTCTTCCAATTAAATGGAATGTGACTCCGCAGGAAACCACAGGGTCTCAGGGGGCAAAGAGGGGCAATATTGATGACATACAACGTCTACACCAGCAGGCTGCGCTCTTATCTTCTCAGGAGCAGCTGGTACTGGATGTTACCACCTCAGCTAGCTGGTAACTAAGCAACGGAGTTTAGTTTAGTTAGAGGTCAATCATAGCTTGGCTCAGCTAGCTGGTAACTAAGCAACTGAGTTTAGTTTAGTTAGATGTCAATCATAGCTTGGCTTAGCTAGCTGGTAACTAAGCAACTGAGTTTAGTTTAGTTAGATGTCAATCACAGCTTGGCTTAGCTAGCTGGTAACTAAGCAACTGAGTTTAGTTTAGTTAGAGGTCAATCATAGCTTGGCTTAGCTAGCTGGTAACTAAGCAACTGCGTTTAGTTTAGTTAGATGTCAATCATAGCTTGGCTTAGCTAGCAGGTAACTAAGCAACTGAGTTTAGTTTAGTTATATGTCAATCATAGCTTGGCTTAGCTAGCTGGTAACTAAGCAACTGAGTTTAGTTTAGTTAGAGGTCAATCATAGCTTAGCTTAGCTAGCTGGTAACTAAGCAACTGCGTTTAGTTTAGTTAGATGTGAATCATAGCTTGGCTTAGCTAGCTGGTAACTAAGCAACTGCGTTTAGTTTAGTTAGATGTCAATCATAGCTTGGCTTAGCTAGCAGGTAACTAAGCAACTGAGTTTAGTTTAGTTAGATGTCAATCATAGCTTGGCTTAGCTAGCAGGTAACTAAGCAACTTAACGGTAGCTTAGTTAGGGGCTCCTTTTTTATATGTCAATTTAGCCCACTTAGCTGTAATTGAGATTTTACTTGGTGAGCTGCTTACTGACTTTAATGAGCTATTAACTTGAGCTTTAGTTTGTCAAACTTTACCATTAAGTTAAATGAGAAACACCATCGCCAGGTCGAATAAACGATGCAGGTGAGAACTAACGTTAAGTGGAGCTCAAATCTCTGCGGTTTAAGTAAACTAGTCGAGTGTTTAGTCAACAGAGGTTTAAGTTAGTTAGTTAGTTAGTATGTACATTAGTTCCAGGCGGAACTCCCTCCAGAAACGAACCGCTTTAAATTTCCTTGTTTACAGCCCACACAAGTACAAGGCTAACGTTACTTTAGTGACGCACACGGTCAATTCGTCTTGTACGGGACAACTAATGTTAGTAATACTCGGCTAATCGATCAGGTACTGTAACAAAATACTGCACATTAGCTTCGCGTCATTTGCCGTTTAAATCACCATCGAGTTTAATCATAGTGACACACGGCGGATCACGTAGCCGACGGGTTCGAACTTCTCCAGATGTTTTAACGTAACGTCTCCTTAAATAGTCGGATTTTTCAATGGGGCGCGTGACGTCAATGTCCGCCAGCTCCACCGAGCACCGAACAACACGCGACGAGGCTTCCGTTTGCGAACTTTGGAGTTTAACGTTACTTACCGACCCCACGGCGCTGTCAGATAACCGAACACCGCCCCGTCTAATCGGGCCGGACTTTGACGCCGCGACGGGGATAATCTCCAACAGGATCGAGACAACGTACGTAACGTTAAAGAGAAAAAAAGTTACACTCTGTCCCCGTCTTTCTTTTTCTTTTTCTTTTTCTTTTTCTTCTTCTTCTTCTGCAGACGTTACGACAGGCGGTGCGCTGCGAGGCTCCACGTGGCCCCCTGCCGTCTGCGGACGGCACTGCAAGCCGTTTTCACCGGGACGCGGCATATTGACGGACGAATTTCTGGGGCAATCCTGTGATTCATACGCGGCGTTGACTCATTTATTCATTAATATATATATATATATATATATATATATATATATATATATATATATATATAACATGACTACAAAAATCGGGATCACGTCTTTTTTAGAGTTTTCATTCAGAAAGTGTGCTATTATGTATACGTTTTAAACAGCTCACGGGTACTGACAAGAAGTGCTTAAAAAGAGATAAAGCCGAAAAAATGACAGTCGAAATGTATTACTTATCGATTTTGGACATATTTTTGACGTTAAAGTAAGGATTCCCATTTCCGTTCTGACTTTCAAAGTAAATGCTCTGCATTTAAAATGGGGGAGGATCATGCTAGCCATCCTTGGAGTAGTTAGGGTTTATGACAACATAACACATTTAGGTTTCATTCTTTTTGAGGGTTTGATAAATTAACCACGCGTGCCGCACGTAGTGACCGACCACAGACAACGATTTTATTCTGAAAAGCCAAGCTGCTGTGACCACGCACGCACGCGCGCGCGGGCAGCAGCATTTGGTTTCCTTGGCAGCGGGAGGAGGGCGGAGCTTTGGCTTCGCTTGATTTGCCACATCGTCGCACAGCACAGAGGCGTCTGTCTTAACGGCGAAAGCGCTTTAAAGAGGTACAATGTGTCGTTTTCCGCCCTGCAGTTTGCGAGATGCGGTTCAATATTACGTTAGCCAGCTAAATAAGCTAATTGGCCGTATCGAGTGTTTTGTGTGTGTGCTAATCCAGTGAGCTAGCTGAATCTAGCTCTAACGTTAGCTGACTTGCTAAGTCAACTAACGTTAAGTAAATGGAACTAACGTTAATTTCCACGTGGAAAAATATTATGTGTTAACTGTTTTATCCAATTGATGCTCTTCCTTTTTTGAGACCGCTATTGAACTTAGCTATTTTTAGGTTAAACTAAACTTTGATAGTAATAACCGTTAAGCTAACGTAGGGTGCTAACGTTAAAGATCATCCCGAGAACTTTGAAATCTAACGTTTAAACACCGCAATGGCATTCCTGCTGATTCTATATATTTGACGTACTTTAGAGCCTAAAGCCGCTGTCCAAAAATATCTCTCCTTCCTCACCATATGCTGATCAGTCATCGAAGGTCATAGTTCACAGATGTGTTTGTTTTGCATCAACAATCAGGTTGACTGGAGACAGTCAGCGGACAGATGGATACCAGGAGCCTCTGCTCTGCATGTGCTTCTAGTCCCCGTTAGGAGTATTCTGCTTTATTAAATGAAGTTTAAGAACACGGAGAACTCTCTTCCTCTAAGCACCAGTTCAATGATTTTAATAATACTAACTCGCTGTGGTTCATTACTGATCACTGAAGCTTTTCTGAGCCGGAAAAAACCCATTCTAAATGAAAGGGTAGACTGTGTGTGTGTGTGTGTGTGTGTGTGGGGGGGGGGGGGGGGGGTCCTCATAGTGGCCATATAACTGAATGGAAGCTAGAATCATTTAATCATTTCAACAAACCGTAATCATTGGAGGACAACTTCTCGCTGGGGTCCATATTTGAATTGTCGTTTTCCTCTGATGTCACGTTCTTCCCGTCTCCTTGGCGACAGGCCCCGCCCGCGGCCATGGCTAAAGACCCGTTGGCCGAGGCAGGCTTTTACGTCGATGAGCTCAACAAGCTGCGGGTCCTCGACCCCGACGTCAGCCAGAAGACCTCGGAGCTCAAGGAGGAGTGTAAAGAGTTTGTGGACAGTAAGCACGGAATGTTCTCTATCGGGTTCTATCTCCAACACCAGCCGGTCCTACGGGTCCTTCAAGCCGTACTGTGTTTTTCAGAAATTAGCCAGTTCCAGAAGATAGTGGGGGGGCTGATTGAGCTGGTGGACGAGTTGGCAAAGGAAGCGGAGACAGAAAAGATGAAGGTAGGCGCCGTGAGCCGTCGCCATCGGTCTCACATGCTGCCGGGCGTCTCGTAACGGCCGCCCTGTCTCTCAGGCCATCGGAGCCAGGAACCTGCTGAAGTCGGTGGCGAAGCAGAGAGAAGCTCAACAGCAGCAGCTGCAGGCGCTCATAGCCGAGAAGAAGATGCAGCTGGAGAGGTAACATTCAGGGAGGGGGGGCAGGAGGGCAACCACACGCTTTAACTGCTGATTGGAGACAACAACCCTTCATCTGACACAATCCTTGTACAAAGACAGATGACGCACTAGGGCTGTCAAAAATGACGTTTGAATATTCGCTTAAAAAAAACACATATATTTGAATATCTGGTTGCACATTAGACACGTCAATAACAGGACAAATGAATATAACGAGACACAACTACCTGTATATGTAATTCATTTAAGTTTAAACATATTTAACAAGATATTACCTACACAAAATAAGTTAATGAACTAATGGCCAAGTTGTTTTTAACAACTATTTGAATATATATATATATATTTGAATTTAGAATATTCCTTGGCAGCCCTATATCACACCAGAGGTGTCTAACTTATTGTCCCCCCCGTCCCCAACGTCCCGCCAGGTATCACATCGAGTACGAGGCCTTGTCCAAAGTGGAGTCGGAGCAGAACGAGTTCATCGACCAGTTCATCCTGCAGAAGTGAGGAGAGAGATATATTTATACAAAGGAATAATATTTATACTAAAGAACGACTCCATCTATCTAGTTTTACTACTTTTTGTATAAATTTCAATATTGCATGTTGATGCTCTCTGTAAATATATTTAGGTTTTTAAAAGATGGAAATTGATCAGCTTTGATTTCAGGAACTCGTCGTCTTTTCTGTGAGTCATTGTCCATGTTTTCATTTGGATGATAGTTATACTTGAATAAATACTGTAAAATATTGTACAATTAAATGTCACATGTTCAGTGTGTGTGTCCTTAAAGCTTGTAATTGTCGGCAACATAAACACATGATGGAAGTCTTAGTGTAAACCTTGAGTATACACTATCATTTATTTAAAAAAAGAATCAGAGTATACAGTCATGTCATTTTCAATCTAGGAACAGTATTTCCTCCTAGTAGCTCCTCTCAACACAGCAGATGTTGCTTCATGGCAGATGTTCACTTCACAATAACTAAAACATCCCGTCCACCAGCCAGGGGTTTAAGAGCTTCACTTCTTCTTGGTGTACTGTAAATGAAACAAAGACAATTGAACTTAGCACGGGGAATTCATTCAAACTTAAATTAAGTAAAAGAGGGCCTTCATTCCTACTTTATCCAGAACCCAGCCTGCGTCTGCTACGGCTCTTTGGATTATCATCTGTATCCTCTCTGGGTCGTCTTCATCAGAGTGACTGGTGTAACCCTGGAAACCAGAGCGGGTCGGGGTGATGAGAGCTGCACCCTTAAAAGGCTCACCAGCCGTATTTGTACAGAGCGCAGAGTGCTCACCTGTCTGATGGCGTGCCGGTAATGCTGCTGCATGGCGCCGCTGGGTAACTGCCTGCAGCACCTGAGCAGGTGTCGGTAGAGCTGCACTGGTGTCAGCTCGGCTCCGACTAGCGGCAGCATCCCCGTCTTCGGTTTAAGCGCTGGACGTCAAATAGCAAATCAATGCATGTTAACGGCTTTATTTATAACGGGAAGAAAGAATATGGTTTGGTATGGCAACAATGTGCCAGTTTTATTAAATATTATAACAGAAGAATATTACAAATACAAAAAAGGGCAAACGTAGAAAACGGTAATTCTATTTTGTAATTCTACAAAAAGTAGAATTACAATTATTCAGTGTAAAAGAAGTAATAGAACACGATAGGAGTAAAAACAAATAAAATATTGAACTAAAAATAAACGTTAAATACATCGAAGTTAAATGAGATGTAACACGTGGTTTTACATCTAAGTGATACGAGCACCAATAATGGAAATACGACCTATGATAATATCACTGATATAAAAAAGTAGTAGAAAGTTATGACACAGATCAATATATTGATAATATTAATATATCTAGATGATATGGTAATAATGATGTGGTTATTGTTGCTTCAACAATATGTACATGTATATACATGTTTATTTTAAATATATAATCAAAACGACATTGCAATAAACCCGTGTGTGGCGCGTGTCTATCGCTCCAGGGTTTTAAAAGTGATCTTCTTCCTCTCAAGTGACATAAGCTGTTAGCTACCTAACGTTAGCTTACCTGTTAGCTAACGTTAGCCAGCTAGCTGACCTACTGGCTAACGTTAGCCAGCCGGAGCTGGTTAAAAGGTAAACATTGCGTGGATAAAAGTAACATTATCTCGTTAAAACGGAACGTCAGCTTCCATAACAACGTGGTGACGACATTAGTGCACTAACATTAGATTAGCTAGAGCTGTTTTAGTAGCCATGTCTTCCCGTCTTCTTCTTCCGGTCCGTTGGAGGCCGAGCAGATGCAGCAGCGGCTCGGTGCTGCCCCCGCTGGGCTTTCGTAGTAGTTTACATGAATAATGCAGTCTGGTAAATTGGATAAAAGCGATTTAGTATTTTTCTAAAGATCTATATATTTAGAAATCACTTTCGTCACTGTTTATGGAGATAATTGTGACCCGCCTTTCTCCGCTAATCGCAGGCCGAGCCGGGTGAGGAGTTTACCCAACTAATAATGAAATAGAGTTCTCCTCTTTGTGTGTTTTAGTTGCGTTCTAGTTTACATTTAAACACTTTAACGCCTGTTTTACATTTCTTGAACTTGTACTTCCACTTATCAGAGAAAATATTGTGCTTCGAATAATAATAATGTCAACCTTATTTCTAACGGACATTTCTAAACAAAACCACAAAGAGCTTTATCTTAAATCATGTGAATAAGATCCACAATCAAAGATGTAAATCAAGACGTACAAATTAGGATGTGTAAGAATATCTTGAGAAGAACTTGGCTGCTCGTTAGGTGATAGGTACATCGTACCCACTTAACATGAAAAAGGGACATATTTAATTAAGTAGATCCAAGTTTATTAGAATATCAAACCTTTTGCACAGCTGTACAGTATGGTTAAGCTGAAAGTTATCCAAAATATATCTTAAAAGAGAACGATAGAACATATAAGTCATGACACAACACAATAACAACAACAAACAACAACAGAAAGGCCGTCAAGGCATTGTAACTAAAAGGTGAGCATACTTCCAGTTCCAGCAGTTTCTCTTTGGTTGTTCTCCGGCTGCTCGTATTTACTGTGATGTGCATCCAGATGTGTCACTTCTTCTTACGAGTAACTCAAGTAAAACATGAAACTTCAGATAGCACCAAACATGTTTGCATGTTGTAAATAAGAAAGATGTTAGGGATTTAAGCAGTAGAACACACCGAGTGGTAGAAATGATAATACTTGTAGTAATGTTTAGTGTTAGAATTGTAGTTTGAGTAACGTTGGATGTTAGTTATTACATTAGCATGTTAGATGAAAGAATTGCAATATGAAGATTTAAGATCATAATCATAGAAGTACAAAAATTCAGTAGACAATCACAATAAAGCTTAATTTACAACTATCAACATGTTAAAAAACAATCTAGCTCAAACAATGATTTCATTTTTTTATACACAGGAAGTAAATGTTTTTTTGGGGACTATGCCCAGCTGTCACCTACAACGGCAAAACATGGAACAAAAACTAGTTCAAAACACCAAGTCCAGGAACACTTCATCACACTCGTCCTGCAGAACACGGTGTGAAACAAACATGGCTGCCAGCTCCTGTGAGGGTCGCGTCTCGTTTCCAAGTGGGGATGTCTGAGGTAAAACCGGTGTGCGTCGATTCGGAAGATGACATATATATTTCATTAAATCACAACTTGAGAGACAGCCAGAGACGGACAGACAGACAGAGAGAGACAGACCAAGTCCAGGAGGAGGCCGTCTTCTCTACCTCTCTGACTTGACCTTGTAGCGGAGGACAACGTAGGTGGCCAGCCGCAGGATGAAGAAGAAAACGCCGAGGACGATGAAGTCCACGTGGAGCTTGGCGTCCTCCACGTCCAGAAGCTGCAGCACCTCCTCGGGCCTCTGGAACTTGCAGACCTTCCCCGGGCACTCCAGCTCAGAGCGGTTCATCCCGTAGATGGACAGGATGACGCCTTCAAAGCCGTACCTGCCAGAGGAGCACACAGACGCACTGGGACTAGGAGCCACGGGTCACGAGTTGGCTTCTGACAGCTAAGAAGTCATCCTCCGGGGACCAAGTTCACCAACGTGCACACTGCATGTTCCACCGATTAGTGCTTCAGGCGTTAAAAGGAAGACTTGGTTTTGGAGCTCTGGATGTGGTTCAGAGAGCTCCGACTCACCTGACATACGACACGTAGGAGCTCCACTGCAGATATTTGGGGATCGTGTCAAAGTTCACAAAGAATCCAGAAAAGAGGAGTACCGGGATGGCCGTGACCGGTCCAACGAACGTGGCTACCTGGGGTACAGGACACAGAGTAGGTGCTCTCACTTGGGTGTGGAACTTGGTGGCGGTCAATCACGCATTCAACGAGGCGTACCTGTAGGGAGGTGGAAGCGGCCCCGACCAGGAGGCCCAGGGACTGTGCCACCAGGGCCGTGCAGGTGGACAGGGCGAGGAAGAGCAGGTAGCGGCTGGCCTCGGGGGGCTGCTCCGTCATCCAGTACACAATGCTGCAGTACATGATGGGGCAGAGCACCTGAAAACAAACTACACGTTTAATTCAGCTTCATCCAGGCTGACGGACATGGGGGAACTGGGGCGAAGGTAAACTGAACAGAGAGCAGAAGCTTCATGTCATGTATTCTATTTTCTGACCAGCAGGGGGCGACTCCTCTGGTCCCATAACATGACTCTATTTCTCTCCAGATTTATTCCCTCAGTAAACATGAGTTTATGGTCTCAATCTCTCATCTGCCCATAAAGCAGGGCGGGGGCTGCACGCTGATTGATAGGTTGACACCAGAGACGTATATCCATCCAGAAATCATCAAACCGATTATCCGCCATACGAGGTCGCGGGGACCAGAGACGTGTACAGAAACAAAACACCCAAGACGGCAAAGGACAGAAAAACATAACTCAAGGCTTCAAGACCACAGTCCACTGAGTTTCTCCGGCTCACCTGGAAGGGGATGTCGGCCATGGTCTTGGCCAGGTAGTAGGCCTTCAGGCTGTACCAGTAGTTAAGGTGCTCCCTCAGGAACACAGACATCTCCAGAGGAACTAACAGAAGGTTTCACAAACACACAACCCGTCAACGTCAACCCACACAGACACACACGGGTGGTTTTTGAGAAATGGTTCTTTGGACTCACAGGTCAGCACGGTGGGCATGAGCGCCCCGAACATGAGGAAGAGCATGGAGAAGAAGAGGAAGCCGGTGTTGTTGAAGACCTTGCTGGCGTCGTTGCCGATGTTCAGGTAGAGCAGGCCGATCAGCACGCCGATGGCGATGTGGGACATCAGCCTGAGGTGGGTCAGAACCTGAGAGCGGGAGTAGTCTCTTTACTCTCAGGGGGCGGAGGGAACCAGAGCGTGAACACGTGAGGGAACCCACCTGGTCTCGACATATGATGATGAAGGTCCTCTTGAAGAGGATACAGAACTGCGTTAGGGTGCTTGTGGTGAAAGAATGTCTCTCCAAGTGTCCGGCGTCCTGAGGGGGAGCAGATGATACCAGAACATCACAGAAAGGGGGCAAATCGACCTCAGGTCCCAATAAAACACTGTGAAGAAAAACACCTGATAAAAACATTTATTTTCAAGGAAGAGTCAAATAAAAGATGGTTTTGAGCTGCAGGTTCTTTTGTAAGCGGTAACCGATTATAGTATTCTTATTATACTCCTTGATAACCAGCATGAACATGATGCCCCACACCTTTATGTAAATTAGCACTTGACCATTCATGACCATGGCACCAAAGAATTACTTCTTCATCACCTCTTCTTCTGGAGATCCGTGGTTCCTGCATGTGTCTTCTCATCGAGAGAGTATTTACCAGAGAACAACAAGTATCATCTGCATAATATTGACTGACTGTGACCTCCTTTAAGACAGAACCTTATATTTAAGTATACAATTAAGTATACAATTGTTGCACATATACATAAATATATATATATATATATGTAATAGAAATGTACAACAAGTTAATTTACCACAAATAATCTAATACTGCTCTACTACTACTATTACTACAACTACTACTACTCCCACTTCTACGTACCTCCAGGCACTTTGCCGCGCACACTGATTGACCGTTGCTCTCACTCGGGTTCTTCTTCTCTCCCGATGCACACATCCCGCCCTGCACGGCCTCAAACAGCACCGGGTTCAGGTCTCCGTACTCCCCCGAGGCCACCTCGATGACTGGGCCACACAAAGCAAGGCCTTAAGTCATTGTCACAATCAAACACGTGGAGGTGCACGCGCCAGGGCGGGGACGTACTGAAGTCGGCGGGGTTGTGGTAGGTGGGGCAGTGGAGGCCCAGGGTCTTCAGGTACGGGATGAGGTAGGGGACCGAGCCCTTGTAGATGCACTGACCCTGGCTGAGGATGTAGAGCTGGGGTGGGCGAGAGGAACACTCAAGGTTAAAAGTGAAGGACGCTGCAGGAAGGATCTCGATTGGATGTTGTACATATCTCCTGCAGTAAATAGACACCATAATGTCCACACTACCTTGTCGAACATCTCAAAGAGCTTGGCGCTGGGCTGGTGGATGGTGCAGATGATGGTGCGTCCTCCCAGCGCCAGAGAGCGCATCAGAGAGACAACCTGGTAGCAGGACACGCTGTCCAGCCCACTGGGGAGGGGGGGGGGGGGGGCATAAATAATGAGAAGCTGTTATGGGAATGAGCCCAACATATTGATTGTCTCTGTACATTTACAAGGATGTTTAAATGTGCTCAGTGTAGAAGGTCAACATCTGACAGCTTTCCAAATGATCCCATTAAAAGAAGACTGGAACGATCCACTGATCCGGCTGAGGTGAACCGTGGTAAACCAGTGGAGGTGGTGGTCATAATGAGGCGTTCCAGCAGAGGAGAAACTTTGAGAATGTTTAATTTGTTCATTTGTCAGACGGTTCGTGTCCCACGGCGACTTCAGCCAGATGCCCCTCAAGCAATTAACGGAATAATTATCTGCGTTTCCAAACCGCTCCAGCACCAGATGTCCAACGGCCCGGCTCAGCCGAGACGTGCAGCCAGATGGACCAACAGAACATCATGTAAAACTCCCTTCATTGCAATTAGTTTATTAAAGACTACATATTTAAATATATAGATATGTCATTTTGTGGGAACCACATCTGTTAGATCACAGCGCACACAATTAAAAGCGCCAGATGCTGCTAAATATTTTTCACACCTGGTGGGCTCGTCAAAGAACATGACCGGCGGGTTGTTGACCAGCTCGAGCGCGATGGCGAGCCGCTTGCACTGCCCTCCGGACAGCGAGCTGGTGCGCGTGTGAGCGCAGTCGAGGAGGCCGAGAGCCGTCAGGATCTCCGCCACCTGCAGACGAGTGATGCAGACACCGTCACAGAGCTTTTAGAAGGGAATAATCAAACTATTGGCGACGTAATCCACGAGTCACTGATGGGGGAACAGCATGATATCAGGCCACTGAATGTTCAAAGGTCAACTTTTTACGTCTGCATGCTGTCTGTTAACGGGACTATCGTCATCTTTCTTCTGCTCAGCTCACCAGTTCTTTCTTCACATCCATCGTTTCATTCAGCTTCAAGTTGGCTGAAACCTGAAAGCAAAGAAGCAGGACGTTTCATAGGTCATGTGATACAGCCGGATCTCGTGGTGGGGGGGTGGGGGGGAGCTTCAGCTCACCATCATGGCCTCTCGTGCCGTGAGGTGAGGCAGCAGCACGTCCTCCTGCATGATGTAGCAGGACATCTTCCTGAAGGTCCTCAGGTCCCTGGGCTTCCCATTTACGCGGATCTGACCCTTCATCCCTGTTTCCCTGGGCGACAGGAAGGACACACACACACACACACACACACACACACACACACACTCTTGAAGGGGCTCAGCAGATGATAAAGGAACACCTGCTATGAGAAGCCTGAGGATGTTGATTGTGTCATAAATGCCAGAGATGACATCTTGCACAATAGATTTTTTCGAGATGGGAAACATTAATTGGATTGTTATATTATTAGCACTTACCTAAGATATTTTTAACCTGATGTTTCTGAACTTTTTTTTTCTTTTTTCTTTTCTTTTTTTAAATATATATTTAGATTATTTTTCAAAATAATTTTCAACCTTAAATTTTTGGATTCTGTAATTTTTCAAGCTAAAACATTTTTTTTTCAAAACATCTTTTGACCTAACATATTGACTTTTTTTTCTAAATATTTCTCCCCTTAATGTTCCTGATTCTACAAATAGCGTAACCGTGTAATGGGGTAAATTACTTTTATGGGTAGAAGGGGATCGCAGCACTCTTACCTGTATCCGGCCAGAATGTTCATGAGGGTGGACTTCCCGGCCCCCGAGGGCCCCATGATCCCGATCAGCTCTCGACTGCAGAACCTTCCAGAAAGGCACTTGAGCAAGGCTTTGAACCCTGGGAACGACATTGATAATAAAAATGTTATATCGAACATTAAGAGGATGCGACATTTAAAAAAGGATATAAAAGGCTTATCGCCTGATTTCTGCAGATCGGAGCAGCTTTTTAGGATTTAGTAGACAGATTTATGAAGATAATACTTATTAGCTACTTCGTACTACAAATCAATCAACAACATAATCTGACTTGAATAAGACAGTCTGGTCACCAGCTGGGAAAGGTCACGGGGTCAACCGCCAAGCCGCTCTGGCCTTGGGTTGGTTAGACGGAAGCCAATTAATCAAATAATCAAAATAAAACTCATGTTGTTGATGTACATGAGTAAAAAAAACTCATATCTGAAAGAGCAGATAGCAGGACGATCCTCTGGGCCGTTTTATGATAACTAAAGCATCCAATGTCTCACGACAGCTTGTTTACAACCTCCACTTAAAAAAGACACCAAATTACAACAAAATACGACACATTCATTCTTTCTCAGTATTTAATTATGGTATGAGAGAGAGGTCAGCTGCTGCTGGTGTCTGTTTACTCATCACGTTGGATGTGTCCATTGATCGACTCGCTGTGATGTCAGAGAGGAGGCTTCAAACACATGAAATTAAATCTGTCTGCAGAGACAGGAAGTGCCGACTCGCACTTCCTCTAAAGGTCTAAAGGAAGGGAACGTAAACGCATCAGCTCTCCTTTCTACCCAACCTGCATCCTGGCTCACTTTACCTCTCCTACATCCTACCTCCCTTTACCTCCTACATCCTACATCCCTTAACCTCACCTACATTCTACCTCTCTTTACCTGTCCTACATCCCTTAACCTCACCTACATCCTACCTCTCTTTACCTGTCCTACATCCCTTAACCTCACCTACATCCTACCTCTCTTTACCT